AAGATAACGGACCAAAGTTCCCCGGCAACGGCTCCAAACACTTGAATCGCTCCGAGTATCACAATAAAATCCCACCTAAGGCCCAAGTATAAACCTTAGATGGGTGCAATATTGGGCAAGTATGTTTAAATATCAACCCGGCTGACCCATGTACCACTACTTCGATTGTTTGAAACATTATCTAGCGGATTGTTGTTTATTGGAATCCCTGCAATCTACGATTTAAAATTAAGACTTTGAAAAGTAAATGGGTGGAAAACTCTTGGTGAGAAGCTTCACTCGGGTGTTGCTTCCCCCCTGACTAACTACCATGACCGTGGGATCGAATGAACCGGTGTGTGACAAGATAATTGTGATCCGCAGGAGGTGCAACAACGGTTAGAAACCAACCTCAAATGCTAGGTCAAGGTAAGCATTAGAGGCTATAATTGTAGCCCTCTTGCGCAAGCAATTGAGGGTTGACTTACCTTCTCCCTCAAACCAAGGCTTGGACGGGATAATCACAATTAACCTAGGTGTCTAATTTAAGTAGACGTTTGCCCTTCATTAACCTAGTTAGGAGGCATGGAATGCCTAAAAATGCCCAGCTCAATTTTGAGCCTCTTAAAATAAGGGGGCTTATTTCTAATCTAGGTTAGAATAGCACAATAGATTTCCAAGAACACACAATGCACAACCACCATGAAAAATACCTCATTTATTAAATTAAACACCACCATCACACAATCAATTACATGATAGTAGTTAGGGTTCTACAACACTCAAGTGAAAAATGAAACTACTCCATGCTAGAAAACAACACTAACCGCGGCCTTCAACATCGACAAGTGCTCAGCAGCCGTCAACATCAACGCCACAGGTGCGGGAAGGAGACCGACGATGGGAGGCTTGGTGAACTGGAAATATAGGAAGAGACAACAACGACCGCCGACGGCAGCAGTGGTGGTATCTGACAAGAACACGCGGGTTCCCGCCAGTATTGGTAACCAACGTGCATCAGAGGCCGAGCAGGGTTCTCGGGTTCTATTGCCGGTGGCGCGAACCAAGGTTGGGGTGTTGCAGACGACGAGGGCTCCTGCGATGGCGACGACCGACGACGAGACATAAACAAAAAGCAAGGCCTCGGGTTGGGGCTTACGCTCTCGCGACCAGAAGTGCCATTCGCTGGGGAAGAAGGGTTGCGTCAGTTTTGACCTGCGGCGTAAAGTGGATGCGGTAAGGAGCAGCTGGATTGGGTCGCCGGCTCCGCGAGTCGAGCAAGGAGCACAACGATTGGAAGCGATTATATGCATGTTGTCGATTGGGGAGAAGGAGCGACAACAAAAGGTAGAGCCGGAGCAGATTCACCAGTTGACTTCGCCGACAACGCAAATCACGCAGGCCCTACGTTCTGCTCCAGTCATGGCAACGAGGGATGGGAAGCAGGACGCGCCATTGAAGGCAGCTTTCGTGGTGGCTTCGATCGACGAGTCGAGGTCGATAGCGATGCCGAAATCAGGCTTGGATCGCCGTCGGGTGATGGTTTCAATGTCGTGGAAGGAGAAGAAGAAGGAGAAGAGAGGCAGCGGTGAGTTTCTTTGCGAGTCGCCGGAGAAGATGATGAGCATGGCGGCGCTGAGATTGTTGTCTGTCCACCTGGTGGGACGTCCGCTACAAGAGAAAGATACCATGGAGAAGGACGGCGTCGAGGTCCTTCTACTCGTTAACCCTAGGCTGGCCCAACAGCCACCTTCGTTGGGCCAAGAGGCCCGTCGGTTGGAGTCAAGGAAATTAGGCCAGCATATTGTGACCGCCGGGTCCAACCTCATACATGAACAGACAAGGAAGAAAGAGCAAATAGCAACAACCACCATTTCATCCGACATACGTCTTTTTTATTTTCCAATGGATTTCCAGCTTTCATTAATGGACAAACTTGGGATTTGTGATCCCAGGTAAGATCGGTTCAAGATCATGGGATCCTGGGAAAGGGAATTTTTTTCGCATAGAACTGAGGAGAAGCCCTGAGTAAGAATCATTGTATCATCACTTATTCAATGAATAATGACTAAAACTGTCTCAATTCATTCTATTTCATCAGATCCGGGATCACTGGGCTCTCTTTGACCAAGAAGATAGGAGGAGTGGGTCGGAGCTAGAATTAAAAGGGACTGCGCAAGAGATTACTCATGGGCCGAGAATTAAAGAGCCTGAGGGAATTCAAGGAACAGACAGGTCAAGTCAAGAGCTGGAGCATGATTGGAAGAAAAGAAAGCCCAAGAAATGAAGTCGTCAAGGCACGATTTGCACGGACGACGTGGAGAAGTGGGTGGAGTCGGTCAACCTTGAGGGCAAGGTTGATCTCAAGAGGGAGAGAATGATAGAAACATGGTTGTTGGAGTTTTCTATTATTAATTATGGTAGGATAATTATGGTTAGGGTTAGTAGTATTCGAGTCGTATTAGGTTATTTATCAGGTTTAGTCCAGTCTTTAGCTATATATATGTACTTTGGGATTACGTCATGAGAATAAGAAGAATATTATGAAAAGCCTTCCAAACCCTAATCTCCAAATCCTCTCAATTCTCGTTCTCAATCCCTCTAAGGTTTAGGCCGATTCTGTTCTTCTTCTTTCCCAAATCCCATCTCAATCCCTAATTATGTTCGTATAAACCATAATCCCCAAATATTAATCCCGATAGTAACTTTGTTTCTATCACCGATTCATTTTATGGCGTGCTTAAACTTCCTGTCACTTTGTGTCGCCGCCTAGACAAGCACATGGAATAATTTTTGTGGTGATACTCGTAAGGAAGGTCTAATATGAGATGGATGTCGTAACGGCGTCTATGCCGCAGTAGTAAACATGAAGGTGGACTTGGGTTCCTGCGGTTCGAGTTGTTCATCCAACCTTTGCTGGCTAAGATAGCATGGCAGGTACTCATGGAACCAGATTCACTTCTAAACTAGACTGATCGGGGAAAATATTTCCATAATGAATCTTTTCTCACTGCACACGCGGGATCCAAATGTCAGCGAGATATCAGACGCGGTGGGGGCGGCGATGGAACAAGAATTAGCTTCCCAGAGGTATCGTACACATGTATGAAAGGGAATATGATTCTTCTCTTATTATGCTGGTGTACTCCTGGAGTATACTATTCTCCTGTTACTTCTAGCGAGATATCTCTATTTAGACCATGAATTAAACTGAGTTTGGGGTACAATACTATACGCTAACTGTAATGGATAATAGCGTTACCCTCGTTTTCGTTACTATGATAGGATTTTTCTTGTTAAGATCCTATAAATCAATTAAAACCACAGATTCATACTAGAACCACGATGATTCAGTAAAACCTATAAAATTTAAGTAGTCTAAAGATTCCCTGAGTAAGAATCATTGTATCATCACTTATTCCATGAATAATGACTAAAAATAAAAAGAAAAGAAGGGTTTGTTCTTTGATCAAAATAAGTATTGACAAAGAATTGAAAGAAGAAAATTTTTTCAATTTGTATCTTCGAATTCTTTGAAATTCTTTTGAGTTCGGTCGCGCGATCTGAATATTAAATATGAACCCCAGCCCAGATTCTCTAAATTTAAACCCGAAGTTCAATTTAATGGAAAACTATAATCAACCGTTGAGATTACTCAGAGTTCATACACATCATTGCCATATATATATATGGTTATGTCTTTGGTGATCTCACTTTTTTGGGTGCATTCAGTGCACTTGCCTCATAATTATCATTCTAAGCAAGTGATTCATGTGAGAACGATGTCAATCGTCATTTGTGGTATATTGGACAAGAAAACACATGATTTTTACAAAAAAATCATTCAATATTTACTTTAACTTAAATGATTTAGGGTTTATGGATTTAGGGTACAGTTTACAATTTGGAGTTTTGGGTTGAGATTCGAAATTGAATGTTAATGGGTTAGGATAATGGATTGATTAATAGGGATTCTATATTATGTCATAATACTAGACTAATACTAGACTAATAGTATCCATTAAAGTTCATATTATGATCACTTTTAGGACTAACAAATAATATATCTTGTTATTGCTTTATGTAATTCAACATTTTTATACACTGCAGGTTTCGCAACTAAGATTTGAAAATTTCTCCGTTAAAACGTCTCAACGACATCAACCATAAGTACAATCAAGCAGCTGTTAACAGCAGAGTCCTAATAGCAGAAGATGTCGAGACATTAAGAAATAAGAATGAAGGTAAACTCATTTCACAATATAGCCAGAGTGGTTCTTCTGCAGACTTGGTTTCTTTCTTCTATCATTGGAGTTTTGCATATCAGGTAAAGATGGCTGAGGAGGGGTCAAAAGGATTACAGGTTTAAACCCTATGTTTCAGGGACTGCAGGAGATGTCCACCAGCATGCCATCAACTGCTTCTGAAACTTCAGCAGAATCAGCCGTTCCTGTTCAAGATGATCATCCAAACTCCAAAGCATCAGAATGTTACTCACCATCCAAACAAACCTGCCGCCAATTGCACGTCAGATGTTTCTTCAGTTGAAAATGGACACCCAGATGATGGAGCTCGACCAACAGGAGCAATAACAGGCAACAAGATTGGCCGAACAGCTTCTCTGCGTCGAATTGCTAGCTTGGAGCATTTGCAGAAAAGGATACGTGGTTGTGAAGAACTCAGTTGAGCTTGCTGCCATTCATAAGTGTATCTGAGGCTCTAAATTTTTGTTACCAACTGGATTCTCTCTTCCTCTCCTGTATAGAACAGCCCACAAGAATAAGTATTCATTTTCAAAACGCAAGTTATCATGTCGAATGATTATGATTTGTCCCTAGTTTGACTTGACTGGTAGGAGGCTAACAAGAGAAGTTGTCAACTGCGGAAAATAGTAAAAGTAACCATAGTCCACATCTTTTAACTTCTGCCTTCCTAACATCGAGTTCAAGGATGACAAACACCAAAGTTCTCATCTTTGATCTCACCATTGATTAGTGTTTACTATGATCTTATTACCTGTATCATCCCAAGGGGATATGATTGCTTATGCCTTGAACTAAGCTTGATCCCGGCTTATTGACTACCCCCTTCACCTTCATTACTTTCCTCACTGTTTCGACCTCTTTCCATCGCTCAGCTGATGCATAGATGTTAGACAAAGCTACATAATCCTCACTCAACTCCATCATTTCTGGATGCAAGTGTACGACTATCTTGCCCACTTCCTCACCCAAATCGACATCTCCATGGACTTTACATGAACTCAGTAAGCTCCTCCATAGGACTAGATCAGGCTCCACCGGCATTCTCTTGACGAACTCGTAAGCATCTCTTACGTATCCAGCCTTGCCAAGAAGATGGACGATGCATCCATAATGCCTCAATCCCGGGCGGAGACCAAATTGAACTTCCATTATCTCAAACAAATGAACCCCCTCCTCAACTAGACCCGCATGGCAACAAGCTGAGAGCAAGCTCGTGAAAGTTACCAGATTAGGTTTAACACCGAAACTTGCCATCAAGTTGAAAACTTCCATTGCTTCTTTCCCTTTCCCATGAATGGCAAGACCTGTCGCCATAGCCGTCCATGTCAGCACATTCTTCACACGCATTCCATTAAACACCTTCAGAGCACTATCCAGACAGCCGCATTTTGAATACATGTCAACTAAACCAGTGCCTAAATAAACATCCATATCAAGCAGACAAATGGTTTTCTCCATGTAACCATGGAGGGAAGCTCCAGTTTCAAGCATCCCCAATTGGGAACAAGAAGAGAGCACGCCAACCATCGTGGTGTCATTCGGTCTCTCTTTACCATCAACAACCAACATCTCCTTAAACAGCATTACCCCATCATAAGCATATTCGTCAGCCTTCTCTCTCTGCGAGCAATACCCAGTCATCATCGCATTCCACGTCACAACGCTTCTCTCGGGCATTTCATCGAACACCTTTCTCGCGGAATATACATCCTTATTCCATCCGTAAAAATGAATCAAAGTCGTCGGGATCATCAAATTCGCAATGAACCCTTGTTTCAGAACCCTTCCTTGAATCTGTCTCCCCAGCAACAACGACGAGAACGACGGTGATCTCGCGCAGGAACCCAGAACGTAGAGATAGGTGAAATCGTCGAAAACCAGGTTGTTCCTCGAAACCCAGGTGGCGAAAAGATGGATGGAGTCCTTTGGGCGGGTGCATCGGATCAGAGTATTGAAGAGGAACAGGTTTGGGTGGTGAAATTGGGCGAGGATCGAGTTTGCTTGGCGGGTGCCGGAGGTCGAGCGACAGTACTGTTCTACCAATTTGGCCAAATGAGGCGGGGAAGTGAGGCGATTTAAGATCAATTGAGCTAGGATTTGGCAGGTTTGGTGAGAAGATCTTGGCTTGATGTGTAGCAGAGAGAGACACCTGAACCGCGAAAGATCGCGCATGAATGAAGTTCAATCAATGGAAATTGTAACTTGGCGTATTCAACAGAATCCCGACTCTCTGGTAGCACGAGTTCTAAAAGGTCGGTATTACCACCATTCGACGTTTCTCAATGCACTACCTGGGTCCAATTCATCATGGGAATGGCAGTCTCTTCTTCATGGTAGAGAACTTTTGTGCCGAGGACTTAGCTGGGAAATTAGCTCCGATTCTTCCGTCGACGCAAATAATGATCCCTTGTTTCTTTTTTTTCTTTTTTTTTAAGTGGGACGCTAAAAAGGCGTCCCTGTCTGGCATTTAAATTAAACGAGATTGGGCAATGCCCATAGTATCATACAGGAGCCAACAATTAAGTCTCGAATCCTACTTATCGATGACATGAACACCTATATCAAGAGAGTGACTCTTGTTTGCTAGATAGTTTGCGGACTTGTTGCCTTCCCTAAACGTGTGAGAGATAGTAACCTCCCAATTTTGTTGTAGAAGTCTCTGAACCTGTCTCATAAGTCACTGGTATCTTCCATTGTACGGTTCCGGTGAGGTCAGAATGTTGAGAACTCTGGTGGAGTCGGTTCGCATTTGGACTCTTCTATGACCTTGACTCCATGCAAGTTGCAAACCTTGCACCACACCTTTCAATTCCGCTCTCGTGATTGTACATGAGCCTAAATTAGAGGCAAAAGCTCCTAGACATCGTCCCATATGGTCACACAGGAGGCCTCCAGCAGCTCTGGAATCTGGTTGCTTGACCGACCCGTCTGTATTGATAGCGATCCAACCTGGCGGTGGCAGATGCCATGAAAGTTCCTTCGCTTCTTTACTCTTTTGCCCGACCTGGGTTCTTGCATTGTTATCCTGGGCTTCTACAATTGTCCGGGTCCATCTTTGAATTCGCTGCGCCAGGGTGGCTACGTCTTGCTGCTTTCCGCATTGGAGGATCGTTGGTGTTTGCTTTCGAATGTTCTTTGTCAGGCATTTATCTTCCGACATTGGTGGAATTGATTGCAGCTCGGGAAGCTATACATCTTATTCAACGATGGCGAAGGCAAGATCACAACATTACTATCACGGGGGATGCTCAAGTGGTGCTACATCAACTGGCCAACCGGTCAATGCATGATGCTCATTCTTAAGTAATTATACGCGAGGCTTGCGCTATGTTAGAGTCCCTCCCAAGAGTTCGTTTTGTTTACACACCTCGAGAATCGAATCGGGCTCCCATTTTTTGGCACAACAAGCCCTTAGTTATCCTGGAATTCATAGTGTCCTTCATGATTTTTCTTTCCTTGTCTGTTAGTGTGTCTTTTGGGTCAGCACAGGTTTAAGCAGTATGTAAAAGCCGGTGCTCTTATTTGTTTCACCTGCGAAGGTGACGCTTGGAAAAAAAATCAAAATTGTAACTTGAATATTCCTATCTCCAATGTCATTGACATTAAGTACGAAAATATAGGATAGTTATCAAGGAAATAATGATAGTTAGTGGTAGGGATGACAATTTTGACATGAGCTGTTTTACTTGATTTGTTTGGACTGGGGGGGGGAGTTATTCTCATCGATCCGACCTGTCCTGACTCTCCCCATTCTTGACTCGTTCTTGTCTAAATTACATTTAATTTTAGTCAAATTACTTAGTATTTTCATTTTATTACATCATATTGTAGCTATGATAAAGTTGTAATTAGTGAAAACCTCAATTTCTCCAATAACTTAACCGCATTTATCATATGATGGTTTGTTTCTTGGACCATTATGTAAATTTTGAAAATTTTAGGTACTCAATTGTTATGATGTAATATAGGTACCAAATTGTAATTTACAAATATTATTTTGTGCCTAAAAAAAATTTAGGTGCAAAAATGTAAAATATAAAATTAGGCTTAATACCAATGGAAAGCCCGAACTATTAAGAATGTGTCATTTGTATCCCGAAGTATTAATATTACATTTGTGTCCTGAATATTGTTTCATTAAAATTGACCTTCTTTGACCATTAGATTTTAAAAAAAAGTCTAATTAGCGCTTATATGGCATTTTATGTGGAATTTTTAATTATTGCTTAAAAAATAATTAAAATTAAAAAAAATTAAAGCAAAAATTCTACGATCTCATTTCCCTCGGGACGGGTTATGGTGATTGCTACAAAGTAGTAATCACCATGGTTACTAAGGGTACATTGGGTATGGAAAAATAAATTGTATTAATCAATTTTTTTAATAAATTTTATTTTATGTAGTTAAAATCATCTATTAATTACAATTCTTTTTCTTTCTCTCACTTCTGTAATCTCCAGCCAGATCCCCTTTCCTTATTTTTCTCAATCTTTCTGCAAAAGAAAAAAAAACATGAAATCACTACCAATCCATTAGACAATCACTACCACTTTGAAAAACATCAATACCATTGCATAAATAAATCTATACCATTACACGAAAACTACCAATATAAATCTATACCATTTCACAAAAAATAATACCATTGCAGATTTAATCAATACCAGTACATGCAAATTACTACCATTACATGATAATCAATACCAATGCAACAAAAACAATACCATTGAGGCGAGAGAGTCGGAGATAAAAGGATGGCCAGCGCCATCGATTGCTTTGATGGCCTCTGTGGTCTAGGTCGCTTGTCCATCGACTCCTCTCCACTACCGAGTATATATATATATATATAGATAGATAGAGAGAGAGAGAGAGAGAGAGAGAGAGAGAGAGAGGAAAGGAGGGTGGAGGGGGGAGGAGGCAGGGACGATTGGAGGAGGGGGTGAGCTGGTTAGGGGAGAGGGGAGGGACGACGGGGGGAGGGGGCGGGGTGGGATGGGGAGGGAGGGGTGGAGGAGGAAGAGAGGAACGTTGTGGGGGGGGGGGGGGGAGGGGGAGGAGGCGGTCGGCGAGTGTGGGTTTGGCTGGAAGGAGGAGTGGGTGGAATTAGGGTTTGTGTATATATAGAATAATCCAGTGTAGTTTCGTTTTTGTTTCCAAATTCTCCTGAGCAATCATAATCGTGAGATTAAAAAAATAGGAAAAAGAAAAAACTGGATGGTAGATATTAATGTAGCTAAGGTGGCTACTAGAATTTTAGTAACCATCCTAACGCGTTCCCTTTTCCCTCTCCAATCTCTTTTCCCCTACTCCTCCGTTGATTGCTTCCTCTCCGCCCACACCCGCAACCATTCTTGACAATCTTTTTCCTTGGACTCCCACTCCTTCATCAGCAAGCTCTACATCTTCATAGATTCCGACGATGTCGCTTGAGGAGCGATTTGATCTGATGTCGCTTCGTTTAGTCGTCCGTGGTCGGTCCCTTTGGCAATCTCTTCTTTTCAGGACACCAATTCTTGCTGGGCGGATATGACGGCGACTAAGATATGGGAGTCAAGGTGGAGGTTAAGTGGTCGTCGGTTTCTTTATCTCTCTTACTCTGGTCTCAATTTCTTACTCGATGGCTCTAGTTGGATGATCTGGATATAGAGATTTTTGGGGGTAGAAACAGGCACAACAGAGGGACGTGATATGGATTTTTTGGGCAAGGTTTCGACGGAGAAAGAATTCGTTAGTGACCAATCAGAGTTAATGGCGGGGGATCATTAGGAGGATAGAAGGAGTCGGAGATGATTCATCTGAAGTTTCCGGCAATAGATTCCGACTAGCAAAGCAAGCGGAAGAGAGCCAGCCATAACCAGCAACTTACTTCTTCTTGATCGATCTCTATTGCGATAGCTTCTTGCCCATTGTTGTATGATCATAAGTACAATCCCCCATTCCCAACCCATCCGAGAGCTAATCTCGATGTCTAGTGTGGTGGGATTCAGTTTTCACTTTGAAAGGGAAAATCCTCCACCACCACTCAATAAATACCTAGATGAAGGGGAGCTTCAAGCAAATGTAGGACTCGCTGATGAAACAACATCAGTAGCGTGCAAGACGGTCACTATGACGGGGACTCGCCAAATTCCCCTACTCCCAACAGCAAGAACAAATTCCGGTGTCTCCCTCTCCATAACCACCACCGCCAACAACAAATTCAATCTCCAGACACCGCTGCTCCATCGACATCATCATCGGTCATCGTTCGCCATTCAAGCAAGAATCATTTCTTCAATACAGCGACTGCTCGGAATCGAAACTCGAATCCAGAATCCAGAATCTGGATCTATAATACATCTCAGTCTGGCTCTTCGGATAAGGACACTTTGATGCTTATGAATGATGATTGACGAGAGAGGGAGAGAGAGCGTGTCGGCAATCGGGGAGAGGCTGTCGTTGCCGGATGAGAGGGAAGGGAGGCGAGAGACAGAGGTAGGAGAGGCGGCGGGTATGAGGATTATTTCCCTAAATACTGTAATAATTAAAATTCATTCCCAAAATACATCATTTTTATAAAAATTTCCCAAACTACCAAAGTTTGACACAGTTCGAGTTCAATAAACTCGGACTAGTACCAGATCGACTGCCAAGCCATCGATCCACGTGCATTGAGTGAAACGGCCACGATTGGCTGGCAGAGGACGATGCGGATTGAGTTTATTAAGCTTGATTTAGGTAGATCGAGTACAGAGGACTCGAACTAGCTGACATGGAGCAATGACATAGGCAGCGCTCCACCCTAGATCTAGATACAAGGGAACGATCAACGTCGTTCGATGGCCATACCCGCGATGAAGTGGTGACGCGGATCGAGGGGGCGGAACTCGATGCAAGTGGATCGAGTGCTTGGGAATCGATCTGCTATACGCGGATCGATGATGTCAGACACACTCTGCCGTAGATCGAGTACTCCATACTCGATCTGCCATCCCTCGAGCTGCTTTTGACGTGGATCGAAGGCAGCAAACACGATGCATTGGTTCGAGTCCCCTAAACTCTATCCACCTCCTCCTCTCCACTTGCATCAATGACGTTGGAGAAGGAACCAGAACAAAATGTGCCACCTGAGAAAATTTCATTCTTGAAGAAGCTCTTCAAGAATCTCTTATCATGTTCGCGGGAAATCCGAA